AATACTTTTTTTTTTTCTTTTTTGAGAGAGTCTTGCTCTCTTGCCCAGGCTGGAGTGCAGTGGTGTGACCTCAGCTCACTGCACTCTGCCTTCCAGTTCAAGCAATTCTACCTCAGCCTCTCCAGTAGCTGAGATTACAGGCATATGCCACCATACCTGGCTAATTTTTTTTTTTCAGTTGGAGTTTTGCTCTTGTTGCCCAGGCTAGGGGGCAATGGCATGCTCTCGGCTCACTGCAACCTCCACCTCCTGGGTTCAAGTGATTCTCCTGCCACAGCCTCCCAAGTGGCAGCCTCCCAAGTTGGTTTGGGAGTAGGTAAAAGTGTAATAGTTGAGGCCTGGTGCAGTGGCTCATCACTGTGCAATCCTAGCACTTTGGGATGCTGAGACGGATGCATGGCTTGAGCTCAGGATTTTAAGACCAGCCTGAACAACACGGCAAAACCCAGTCTCTACAAAATTACCAGAAAAAAATTAGCCTGGTGTGGTGGCACATGCCTATGGTCCCAGCTACTGGGGAGGTTGAGGCTGGAGGATCACTTGAGCCCAAGAGGCAGAGGTTGCAGTGAGTGAGATCGAGCCACACCACTGTAAGCCTTGGTGACAGAACCAGACCCTGTCCAAAAAAAAAAAAAAAAAATTATATTGTGAATCCTGGCTGATACAGTGACTCAGGCCTGTAATCCCAACACTTTGGGAGGCCGAGGCGGATCACCTGAGGTTAGGAGTTCAAGACCAGCCTGACCAACATGGTTAAACTCTGTCTCTACTAAAAGTACAAAAAATTAGCTGGGCGTGGTGGCCAGTGCCTATAATCCCAGCTACTTGGGAGGCTGAGGCAGAATAGCTTGAACCCAGGAAGTGGAGGTTGCAGTGAGCCGAGATCATGCCATTGCACTTCAGCCTAGGCAACAAGAGCAAAACTCTGTCTCAAAAAATAAATAGTTGAATCCAGCTACCTCTTCAGTGTCTTATGCTAGCTGCAGCCCACAGGAGACCAGATCCCTAGCTAACCCACCTTGCTGAAACGGAAACACGGGCTCCAGCAGAAGAAATAGGAGTTTATTACCAGACGGTGGAAATGGTGGGCTCAAGTTTAGGAGCTGGGGATTTGGGGGCTGGATTAGTGCCCCACACATCTTGGGTCCCTCAAGATCATGGTTAGGCTTACGGCCATGGAAGAAAAATCAGTTCACAGAGGTGGGGTCTCCAGAAAGGAGTGAGGCACAGGGTGTCGGTGATGACTTCGCCCTCCTGGCTTCCTCCTGGGGTAAGGAGCAGGAAGCCCCCTCTGCGGCCGCTGCCTGGCCCAATCCTCCCAGGCAGGGCTGCCACTGTGACTCAGCACACGCTGAACACCGAAGGGGCCTGGGCTTGGTACTTCTCGTGGACTGTCTTCAGGATGGGTATGAGGTTCTGGAAGGTTGGGCGGAAGGATGCCTCCGTCTCCCAGCAGTTCTTCATGAGGTGATAGACCTGGAAGGAAAAACCAGAGCAGGTGGGGGTTGCCCTCTCCACAGCAGGATGGCAGGGACAGTGAAAAACAAAGGAAGTCTCACCTCACAGGGACATTTGTCGGGCCGTGGCAGCCTCTCCCCTCGTTCCAGCAACTCGGTGAGTCTCAGCACTGTCACCTGACCCTGGGTGATGCCTATGAGCTCAAGGAATTTCTACAGTAGAAACAAGACAAGCTCTTTTCAAGAGGCAATGAAGGCCAGGCAAGGTGGCTCATGCCTGTAATCCCAGGACTTTGGGAGGCTGAGGCAGGTGGATCACCTGAGGTCAGGAGTTCGAGACCAGCCTGGCCAATATGGTGAAAGCCTATCTCTACTAAAAATACAAAAATTAGCTGGGCATGGTGGCAGGCACTGTAATCTCAGCTACTTGGGAAGCTGAGGCAAGAGAATCACTTGAACCTGGGAAGTGGTGGTTGCAGTGAGCCAATACTGCACCATTTCACTCCAGCCTGGGCAACAAGTGCAAAACTCCGTCTCAAAAAAAAAAAAAAAAGTCAGGTGTGGTGGCTCATGCCTATAATCCCAGCACTTTGGGAGGCCAAGGCAGGTGGATCACCTGAGGTCCGGAGTTAGAGACCAGGCTGACCAACATGGAGAAACCCCATCTTTACTAAAAATACAGAATTAGCCAGGTGTAGTGTTACATGCCTTTAATCCCAGCTACTGGGGCGGCTGAGGCAAAATAATTGCTCGAACCTGGGAGGCAGAGGTTGTGGTGAGCTGAGATTGTACCATTACACTCCAGCCTGGGCAACAAGTGCGAAACTTCGTCTCAAAATATATATATATATATCACTATGCAACTTCACGAAATTGACTGCATGGATTCTAATCCCCCCTCCTACACTTTTCCGCCCTGTGACTTTGAATTTGAGTTTACTTCTCTGGGCCTCAGTTTTCTCATCCCTAAAATAGGATAACATCTGCCACCTGGGACAACTGTGAACGTTGACGTAATAGTTATAGAGCAAGCCTGAATCAGGTGTTTGCTGTTATTAAGCCTCAGAGCAGGCTGTTCTTATCATCCAGAATTTTTTTTTTTTTTCTTGAGACACAGTCTTGCTCTGTCACCCAGGCTGGAGTGCAGTGGCAGGATCTCTGCTCATTGCAACCTCCAACTCCTGGTTTCAAGCAATTCTCCCTGCCTCAGCTTCCTGAGTAGCTGAGATTACAGGCACCAGCCACAATGGCTGTGGAAGAAAAATAGGTTCACAGAGGTGGGGTCTCTAGACAGGAGTAAGGCACAGTGTGTGGGTGAGACTGACTTCCCCCTCTTGGTTTCCTCCTGGGTTAGGGAGCAGGAGTCCCCCCTGTGCGGCCACTGTATATTTTGTATTTTTTTTTTTTGTACAGACAGGGTTTCACCATGTTTGCCCGGCTGGTCTTTAACTCCTGATCTCAGATGATCCGCCCACCTCAGCCTCCCAAAGTGCTGGGATTACAGGTGTGAGCCAGCACACCAGGTGTTTTTTGTTGTTGTTGTTTTTTGAGACGGAGTCTCGCTCTGTTGCTCAGGCTGGAGTGCAGTGGCACGATCTCGGCTCATTACAATCTCCGCCTCCTAGGTTTAAGCAATTCTCCTACCTCAGCCTCCCGAGTAGTTGGGATTACAGGTGCCCACCATCATGACCAGCTGATTTTTTTTTTTTTTTTAAAAGATACGAGGTCTTAGGAGGCTGAGGCACGAGAATTGCACTCGGGAGGTGGAAGTTGCAGTGAGCAGAGATCACACCACTGCTCTCCAGCCTGGGCAACAGAGCGAGACTCCGTCTCAAAAACAAACAAAAAAGCTGGGTGCGGTGGCTCGGGCCTGTAATCCCAGCTCTTTGGGAGGCCGAGGCAGGCGGATCACGAGGTCAGGAAATTGAGACCATCCTGGTCAATATGGTGAAACTTCATCTCTACTGAAAATACAAACATTAGCCGAGTGTGGCGGCACATGCCTGTAATCCCAGCTACTCAGGAGGCTGAGGCAGGAGAATCACTGCAACCTCCGCCTCCCGAGTTCAAATAATTATCCTGCCTCAGCCTCCCGAGTAGCTGGGATTACAGGCGCCCGCTACTACGCCCAGCTAATTTTTGTATTATATATATTTTTAATTCACCCAGGTGTGGGCGGGCTGAGGCCGAAAAAGGCATCAGCCTAATTTTTGTATTTTTAATAAAGACAGGGTTTCACCATGTTGGTCAGGCAGGTCTCGAACTCTTGACCTCAAGTGATCTGCCCACCTTGGCCTCCCAAAGTGCCAGGATTACAGGCGTGAGCCACCGCGCCCACCGTTTGTTGTTGTTGTTGTTGGTTTTTTTTTAACACTTGCTATGGACTAGGGAAACTGCATGCCTTTCTAGTTCCTCTAGCAAACTCCAGGTGAGGCTGCGGGCCTGGCTCTCACCGTGGGTGGGCTCTGGCTGGAGGCACAGTGCGTCAGCAGCTCATACAGGGTCACCCCAAAGGACCAGACATCGGACGCATAGTAGAATTTATACTCCTTCAGGCACTCTGGCGCATACCTAGGGGGAGAAGGACACTTAGGCCTGGGGAGGCTGTACTGAGGATGTGCTGCACTGAGGGTTTAGGGGATCACAGCAAGCTGAAGCCCTCACCTGGGGCTCAAGGATCTTTCCGGGCTCAGTTGGCACCCACCCTTAACAGCGCAACCTGAGCGGGGTGAGGCGCTTATAGGCTAGGCCGGGTTAACCCCGCCCACCAAGCCAAGCCGCACTCTATGCCCCGCTCCTTGCAACCATAGGCCCCGCCCCGCACGACTAAGCCCCGCCCCGCTTCACTGGGACCACGCCCTGTCATGAGACCCAGCATCCTTCTACTCCACCCTGCTTGTTCCAAGTGACCTCAACACCCCCTCACACTGCACCCCTACTGGTCACCAGAACACGGGGCTGTCCCCATCCTCGCGCACACGGTAGTACTCGTGGCCTTCGGGCACGGCCTTGGCTAGGCCAAAGTCCCCGATCTTGACCAGCCTGTCGTTGTCCAGCAGCACGTTGCGCGCGGCTAGGTCTCGGTGGATGTAGTGCTGCGCGTGCAGATAGGCCATGCCCTGGGGGCGGGGCGGGGCTTGTGAGTTTCAATGAGGCGGGGTTCGGCCGGGGGCGGTGGCAGGACCTGAGCAGCCAGGATGGCTGGGGGACAGTCAGGTCAGGCCTGTGGCGACCCGGCCGCTATAGAGGGCCGGATAGCAAAAGGCACCAAGCAAAAGGAATCTGAGCCAGAAAGCAGGGGCGGGGTTGAAGAGCAACGCTGGGTTGCAGGGCGAGTTGGGAGGGGCACAGCCTGCCGCGCGTGGTCCCTTGGGAGGGGTGTGGCCAAGTGAGCCGGCCAATTGGGAGGTCAGTGCAAGGACAAGTGGGCCTGGACAAATGAGCAGGGGCGGGGCGTGAGAGCAGACGGGACGAGACAGCTCAGGCCAGCCCAGGCTGAAGAGGAAAGGGCAAGCTCCAAAAGCAGGGGCGGGCCCGACACACCTCGCAGATCTGCTGGGCGAAGAGCAGTAGCTGGGCCAGCCCGACGCTGTGCCGGGGCAAGTAGTCTCGGAGGCTGCCCAGTGGCACGTACTCCATGACCAGCTGCACCGACTTCTCGCCTGCCGCGGAGAGGGGCGGCCCCGGTGGGGGACGATAGAGGGAGGGCCGGGCACCACCTACCCTGAGCCCAGCAGTGGCCCCCCAAGGTCGGGAGCGAGGGCCAAGACCCACGCACACTAGACCCATTCCTCAGGTGGGATGGACCCATCCACCACCCCATTCTAACTTAAGGGAGCTGCCAGTGGCTCCCACCCATCCTGGCCCCAGCAGGTAGCGCCCCCCAGAAGGGAAGGAGGCAGCCTGGCCATGCCCACCCAGCTGCCAAGAACCACGTCCAGCAGCTTGAGGTTGAGGCTCAAATTGGTTGGGCCAGATGGCCCCGCCCACAACGCCACACCCACGCTGTAACCATGCCCCTCGGGTCTCTGGGGCTCGCCAGGTCCCGCCCACCTTGGTCCTCGCAGCAGCCCTTGTACTTGACGATGTGCTCGTGGTAGAGCGTGCGCAGAATGTCAATCTCCTGCTTCCAGCCTGAGCGGTGCTGTGGGCCGCAGTCTGCCTTGAGGGCTTTCACCGCCACCATCTCGCCAGTGCCGTCGTTGGTCGGATCGTAGCAGTACAAGCTGACCTTACCAAAGTGGCCCTGGTCGGGCGCCCACGAGGATCAGCTCCACCTCACCAATCCCGGCACCCCTCCCAAACCCACAATTTCCCAGCCCACTCCTCCAGGCAGATCCATTTGGAATACCCCAGGCTCAAACTACTCCAAGTTCTTAAGACTCCTTGGCACCTAGATCTCCTGAGAGTCACCTTAGGTAGGAGTTTATCCTCAATCCCCAAACTCCTCCCCTACCAGGCAGGCAGCCCAGGCCCTTGCCTCACCTCTCCCAGATCTCGGATCTTTTTCAAATAGCGCTTGTGGAAAACAGTAGGGTCTGACGCAGGTGAGTCCAGGTTCACAGTCAAGACATCAGCAAGACCTGGAAGAGCTGCGGGGGGTAAGGCCTGACCCCCCCCCCCACCCTTTCCCAGCAGGCCCACACTTGGGAGTCACAAAGCTGGCCACAGCTACCCCAGCCTCTGATCCCAGAGGTAAGAAGACTTTTTCAGCGCCGGGCG